AACCATTTCAGCTTGATTCCATTGTCTGCTCACTGCAGGGGCCAATATGCAGGGAGCTTATATTCCTAGATACATATATGTGTGTATATATCTGAATAATATGAATTTTACAGATATTTTAATAGCATTAATGGAGACAATGAGAGAAAGAAACATTTTAAAGGGTACAAATAATGCCACCAGTTGGTTTACTCAGTAGGTGTGTGCCTCACGTGGGCAGTTATGGCGACAGGACTCTGTCGTTCCTCAGCTCTTCCAGTCCCTGCGGAGCCCCCCTATGGTGTGCGCTTCTTGCCACAGTGAATGCAACAAGAGTGTAAAGATACAGGTTTTTAATTCAGCAGAGCCTTGGAAAGTTAGCCCACTGCATTCCCAGATGCTCACCAGAGAAGCAGAGCCCTGTTCTGTCCGGGGCCTGCTGGCTGTGCAGTGGCCCCTCGAGGCTGTATGCAGGCCACCAGAAGTTTGATGTTCACCGTATGGGCTCACTTTGAATCTAACCCCTGTATGATCCACTTGCACTATGCCCATAGGCCATCTCCATGTGTTGGTCTGATGATGCCTTCCACCCGCGGCCCCCCACATACCTTCTACACCAGTCCTTACAAGCACACTATGCCTTCTTCTCCACAGGGCAATCTCCTGTTTGCATTTCATTCATCCTCACAACTGTCCTTTGAGGTAGGAATACTCTTCTCACTCAGAGATAAGAATGCTGAGTTAAGATAAGGCAGCAGGGAGTAGGGTGGTTTATCTAAGCTCACACAACTTGCCTTATTTCAGGGCTTCTGGGTGGGTCATTCTCCTTGTGATGGAAGAACTGTGGCGAGTGTCTACGTGGAAATTATAAGGTTCACTTCATTTGGCAATTATCTGGTTAATTTGATCAACACTCTAAGTACCTTACTGGGACATTCAGCATGTGCAGCGCTGTGTACCCCGAATATTATTTACTTCTCCATGCCACCAGTGTGACTCTGCACATGTGCTGTCTGGGAAGCCCTTATCTGTCAAACTGCCCTCTTCCCCCTGGCGGATAATAAGAATTCAACTTGTATTTGGAGCAAAAGTTCCCAGGGGGTCATATGGCCCAATAACAAAAGATTATGATTTCTTATTGGTTTAATAGCATCTATTTTGTAATTCTGAATATACTCTGTTTTAATTGGATTTGTTAAAGGAACAAAAGGGAATAGGTGCCTTACAATTAAAATAAAATATTAAGATTATTAGTTTAACAGACTAGAAATGCTTTCTTCATCAACTAACACATTCAAAACACACAATCCAACCTCAACTCACGGGAAAGCAGAAGAACCACAGTTAGTCCTGGCACCTTTAACCCCCCAGAGGTGAGCGTTAATTCAATTTCCACCAACATGGTTTACGTACTGCAATTGCCAGACAGACATTATTGCATTTTCTCCCCATAGCCACAGCCTCCTTTGCAGATAAGGGACCAGGCTCAGAGAAGTGGCTTGCAGGGCGAAAACTACAGGGCCTGAGGCCAAAGGGCTACCACCCCTCCCCATTTACCACAGGGTGACCCAGGACAGTCTTCTAAGCCTCACTGAGCTTCATCTCCTGCTTGTGTAAATGTGATGATAAAGTGGCTACTTCTGAAGGGGACGTGAGGGCAAGGAGGATTTGGAGGCCTATATTGTGATTTTGTATGTAGGCAGGAGACCAGTGGCACAGATAGGGGAGCATAATTATCATCAACAGTAGAGGCAGGACTCTAGGATTCCAAGTGGATAGTACCCCGGTGCAGGCCCCACAGCCTAGGATCCTCACTGACTAAGGCATCTCTGCCCCTCTAGGTACAGACTTCGGATTACTTTATCCTGGAGGACAGAGAGACATGGCTCTTCCAGGGCACAGGTCCCCAGGATTGCAGAGTGCAGGGGCCATTCGTCTCAAGTGCCCAGTGTGAGAAACACACTTACTGGTCCAAACTTAGTTAAAGAAAACAGCAGAGCGCGGCTTCAGTGCCAGTCTTGCAAGATCGTGTGTCTGGTAAGCAGCACACTCAGGGCGGTTACAACAAGCAATTTATTCCTTAGCACACGAGTCCCTCCTCATTGGCTGAGTACTACAGGGTTCACATTCTTTCCTGGACATCACCTAAGCATATTATATCTATATTAGGTCTTTTTTTGCATTTGTCTTAATTTCATTGGCTGGTTTAAAACTTTTTCTGCATTTCTTTTTTTCCAAAGAGATGCACAGCCCTCTCTTTTTTATCTTATCTCCCTTCCCCCTCCCAGCCAGAGTGACTCCCTGGTACATGTAGGCTTCTTTTTAATACCCTTTTGTTCAACCATCAATTCCTCTGGGAATAAATCACATTTAGTTTTATGCCATTTCTAACACCAGGGGAGTGTGCCTTCTTTCTGCACCATGACCCCATCCGGCCTCAGTGAGATCTGCTGAGGGGTGGACTTGGTGCAGACCCTAGAGTACCCTGACACAGTACACTGGAAGGTGTCCCAGTGTGGTCCCCGCTTCTGCTGTTCATAGCCCCCAGCACTGGGGAAAGCTTTGCTGTAAATCCACCCACCATTAGACTGTGAAGCACCTTGAAGGGGAGCCCTGGAGACCAACCCTAAGGGAACGGCCAAACCTCCCATGCCATTTTGAATTTATTCATTCATCAGCAAAAAATATGAATTGGGTGACTTCTGTGAGTGAGGTGCTGCCTTACACAGCAAACAAAATGAAGGACCTGCTCATGTTCTGGAAGGGATGAACAAAAGCAAATGTGTGATGAGTGCCCTGTGGCCATGAGTGCTAGGAAGAGAGTCGGGACAAAAGGACAAAATGGAAAGGGGCTTGTGGAGAGCTGCTCTTTTGGCGAGGGTGACCAGGCAAGACCTGTGAGGAGACATCTGAGCAGAGACTGAAGAAAGTGAGGATTCAGGGAGATACAGGGCATTTCAGATAGAGGGAACATCAGGCAGAAAGGCTCTGTGGCAGAGGCGGGGGGAGCAACAGCAAGAGGTGGTGAGGAGGGAAGAAGATGGAAGGACAGGTGGAAGGCCAGAGACATAACTGAAAAAACGATGGCAGACATGATCTGGCTTAATTTTCAAATGATACTCTAGCTGTTGTGAGAAAAATCTTCAGGGCATCAAGGCTGGAAGGCCAGTCCCCACCCTCCCCCAGGGTGCTCGCAGATATGGCCTTGCCCTCCCCGCTGAAGCTTCTGCTGGAGACAGATGGCAGCCTGACCCTGAGGCATCGGTAGGCTCCTGCTTTGTTTTCCTGCTCCTGTGCAGTCTGTTCTCAACACAGCAGCCAGAGAATTTCTGTTGTCACAGCAAATGCCACCATGTTACTCCTTGGCTTACAGCCCTCCAGTGTGTCCCATTTCACTGCAGGAAAGTAGTGAGTCCTCTGGTGGCCCATAGCCTGCCCCTGGCCTCTCTGAAGGGCTGCCACCACCTGTCCTCACACTCCACATCAGCCGCCCGGCCCAGCCATTCCTCCAACATGCCGGGCAAGCTTCTCCTTATGGCCTTTGCTCCAGCTGCTTCATTCTTCTAGAAGATTCTTCTGATATTTACTTGACTGACCAGGACATCTTCTTCAAGGATTTGGTTAAGTTTCACCTTCTCAGTTCAGCTTACCCTGACGCCCAGTTAGTGAGGCAAACTGACCCCAGCATCCATGGATCCATGCTCTGTGTGCTCCCATTGTGCTTTCACCCAGATACATTTTATAGTGGACTTATTTGTCGTGCTTATTTTTACTGTGCATCCTGTCCCCTTCCTCCCCCACCAGACTCTAAACACTCAGTGCCTGGCGCACAGTAGGCCCTCAGTGGAGTAGCCATTGGTTGAATGAATGAATTTTTAACAAGGTCAGTCCTCATTAAGTCCAGTTCCTGTGTCTTCAGAAAGGGATCAGCTTTGTCTCCAGTTTCACAGCTTGTATTCAGCTGCTACATTATCAACTTGACCCATTGTTCTCCTTCCACTTTGAAAGGGTTTCTAAAATATACAGAATAATTTTTAAGGGAGAAGTCTTTGGGAGAAACTTGTCACTTTCACAGCAAATATTTATTGTCACTGAGTGTGGACCCAGTCTCAGGTGCCCCTCGAGGACAGGAAGGCTTTCCAAAGAGATGCATTTAATGATGTGATGAGTCATTTGTCTATGAGAATAAGTAGCTGTAGGCTGGGAACAGGGTTGGTAGTGTCATGAATGAAGTTGTTTTAATTGGCTTAGGCCAAGGGGAAAGAAAAGTCCCAGAAGTAAGAATGGACTTGTACAAAGGAGAGAGAGGATGAAGCTAGAGGTCTGAGGAGGCGGTGAGACAGCCCAGGAAGAGAGGGGCATCTGGCAGCCAGGAAGCAAGATGCCACTCCCTTCAAAGTTTCTGTATAAATAAGTTTATGGCAGTGACATTTAAGATTATAAAAGCAAACGGACACAATTCAATATCTAACAATGGACAATTGATGAAATAATTACAGTGTAGTCATGGAATGAAATAAATGTTAAACAGAAATGAAATCTATTTTTGTGTGTGTGGGTGCCCTTGAAATAGTTATTGATTGAATGAATGAACAATAAGTCAATCAGCAGCTGTTTACTTGTAACTTCTTATTAGAGAAGCCAGATACGTGTAATTTACAGTTAGTTTTCTGAACTTTCAGTAAAAAGCATTTCTAACTGATAGACTGAATCACACCCTTTTATAGCTTTTTCAGTGAATATCCTAATCAGAAAAGAAAGCTGCAAACACACATGCTTTCACACACACACACACAAAGTTCTACTTTCTTTTCATTTACATGAATTCTGTGAAGTCACTCAAGCCACCCTTAAAATGGTGTGTGTGTGTGTGTAGGAGAGAGATTTAAAAATATTCAGCAGATTTTGGGTCAAAGAGGGGAATCTGAGGAAATTTTCCTGGGACAAAGACAAGAAGGGACCACACATGTCTAGGGTTAGAGTTTTGGAGGTGGAAAAGCCTGACTTATATCCTGACTTACCACTTTCTGCTAACATGGAAACTTGAACCAGATACAGTCCTTTTCTGAGCCTCAGATTCCTGCGGGCAGTGCAAAGATCCTGTAGAAAAAGCTTTAGAGGTGAGAGGTGATAAATAGCTTTGGTGATGGGATGGCGGCAGTGGGGATGGTTGCTAATGGAGAACGTTGATTTGCCTGGCGGCAGGTGCAGGAGGAGGGGGAGGAGCACCCGAGGGGCATCGCTCCCAACTACAGATGTGCACACTCAGCAGAAGGTGGACAGTCTGGTTGTCTGAGGCAGCACACGCTGTACTGAGTGGTCTGCCAGCCTGGCCATGCTCAGCATTGCTAGACGGGGTGCTGGGTGAGGAGCGTTGGACAGCCATTCTTGTTTCCCTCCAGAGATACCCGGGATGGAGCAAGCCCTCCATCACACTGGAAATCCTCAGCCAAGTACAGAAGACTGTGATATAAAAACCGTGTAGCTCCTTATGTGTGGGTGACCTGCAATATGGTGCAATGTCAGGGAGAATATTGATTTAAATAGTGGCTAAACTTACTCCATCCAGAGGTGAAGGGCATTGGAAGGACCATGGTCTAATTTTTAAAGGGATATTTTAGATTAAAGGGTGCAAAAGAGTAGTTTTGGGCTCCTTAGTTGTATGTAAGACACCTGTGTAAAAAATGTTGTCTTCGAATCTTAATTTTTTTTTGTAGAAATATTTCCTAAATTCAGATTTCCTTTTCCTCTTGAGTCTTTATCAGGCTTACTTGAAGTTATTACTGAAGCATTTAACACTATCATAAGTAAGAGACCCCTTTTTTGATGACTGAGCAACATATGTAATTTGCTAGGAATGATGTGAACGATGGCCATAAAGGCAGCCTGCATTTTGTATAGCATAGGGCAGCTGTTCAGCATTTCCCAAACAGGGGTAGGTGCCCATGAATTAGCCACTGCCTGTTCCTTTCCTGTTCTGTAAAAAAATACTCAATAGGAGGCAGTCACATGGGTAGCACAGGATGCAGGGAATTGAGGCAAATAGACCTAGGCTGTACCCCAACCTTCACTTCCAACCTCGTTTTCCTCATGAGTTCACTTTACTGATCTGCAAAATGGTTAGAAAACTTCAGGCTGTTGTGAAGAATAAGTGAAATGAGGACCATGAAGTATCAATTGTGCAGTGGATACTCAATGAATGATAATCTGGCTCCTGCAGTCAGTGCCTCTATGATGCTAAAAAATACTGATAGATTCACCAAATAACACCATATTGATCATCTCCCCCCTCAAATTAATACCCCCAGAACACTCCTCACTGGTCATTAACCCCAGATATAGGACTTGTGGGACAATCTTTGCTGATTTCCAATCACAAAAGTCTTTGCAACATTTTTACACTCAAATTCCTATTGATAATATTAATAGCAATAAAAGAAAAAATGTTAATAACTTGTGACAGTAATTATGCTTTTGTCCACTTTTAACCTCTAGAACTGGCTACAGCCCAAGCTACTCACTTGTTCATTCACTCATTTGTTCCTTCATTCAGCAATTTTTATTTGAGTCATTCTATGGGTCAGGGTCAGGTCAGAAGAATTCAGTGAGCAAGACAGACATTGTGTTGCTCATGAAACTCCTGTTTTAGGAGAAAGCAGATCAAGCAATAAAAACAAAACAGAAAGATCTGAGACCACTTCAGGTGTAAATGCTCTGCAAAAAATAAAGCTTGAAGAGGTGAAAGGGAAATGTGAGGTGTCAGGAAGAGAATATTAGGGGACAGCTAATTTAGACTGAGATGGCTGGGGAGTCCTCTCTAAGGTGAACACTAAGAGAGGCCACCAGGAGGACGTGAGGAGGAACAGCCAGTAAGGGGACATATCCAGTGCAAAGTCCTAACGGTAAGGAGGAGCTTGGGTGTTTGAGAGACAGGAGATGCAGGGCGGTTGGGGCAAGGGCAGCAAGAGAGGGCAAAAGATGAGGCCAGAGAGTTGGGAAGGGGTTGCACGAGGTGGGCCATGCAGCATTTTACAGACATTATAAGGAACTCTTATGACTACTTGATGTATTGATTTTGATTGCCACTGGACAGATGTGGCAACTGAGGCTAAAAAGAGGCCAAGTAGCTTGTCCAAAGTCACAAAGACTAGAATTAGGGGTGCCTACATTTTCCTGTTATAGCTGTCAAGGAAATAGGAAAATAGGAGTGTGTTGTGGTATGCTCCATAAAGAGTCTTTCCTTGCAAGGCATAGCACAGCCTAGGACTTAACCACTTGTTAGTGGGTTCCAGTGTTCAGGATAATTCCTGAAAGGCGTTTGCCTCCAGACTTCTCCAAAGACAGACTGTGCTCCAAACCATATTGAGTTAGCAGTAATCAAGTGGGTTCTGCTGAAGTTTCCCTAATAGGCTCTAGCCTCCTGAGTGAATGAGTATCCTCACTGCAGTTTCCCTAGAGGCATAACTAGTTGGGGTGAAGAAGCAGTTCAGATACCCACCAGCAATAAAATGCTCAGAGAGACTCAGACTTTAGAGAAAGAATCAAGCCTGACCCCAAACTCCCACTGCCTTGTGTAGCAACCTTCCCAAGCTTGCCTATGGCCGGCACCCAAGAGTACCTGCTGTGTCCCCAGCTAGCTGCACTTCCTGCCTGGGACTCAGAGCCAGCGTCCTCCTCTCCTATGTAATGCATTAATTCGAATCTAGGGTTTGCAAATAAAGCACCTCAGGAGAACCGGCTGCTTACTCAAAGGAGTAAAGAGAAAAGCAAAGTTTGAAGAGTTTGTTGTATGGCAAAATTGAAGTAAATCAATAAATGCACAGCAACCACACCACCAGAGAAAAACTTACCCTGCTCATTCCAGTTCCTCCTGCTCAGCTGTGAAACTCTGTCACCAGGCAACAAGAGACTTGAAACCTGGAGTTAATTAGCATAAGCTTGACGGTGGCCTGCTAGGTGAAAGAACACAGCTGAAAGGGTGTCCAGGACATGCCAGCTTCCCAGCCTGGGGCTGGGCTATCTGGGCTGGCCGAGGTGAGCTTTGTCCTTTGTCCCCTGTGGTGTGGTGGGGAGGGTCATAGTACCAGGGCAGAGCCTGCTTCCCATGGCAACTGCTGGAAATGGACATTGCCAAAAGAGGGAAAAAAGCCATGTTTACTTCTTTTTTTTAAATTTGGTATCATTAATCTACAATTACATAAGCAACATTATGGTTACTAGACTCCCCGCATCATCAAGTTCCCACCACATACCCCATTACAGTCACTGTCCATCAGCGTAGTAAGATGCTATAGAATCACTACTTGTCTTCTCTGTGTTATACTGCCTTCCCCATGTCCCCCACCACACATTATGTCTGCTAATCATAATGCCCCTTTTCCCCCTTGTCCCTCCCATCCCACCCATCCTCCCCAGTCCCTTTTCCTTTGGTAAATGTTAGTTCATTCTTGGGTTCTGTGATTCTGCTGCTGTTTCGTTCCTTCAGTTTTTTTCTTTGTTATTATACTCCACAGATGAGTGAAATCATTTGATACTTGTCTTTCTC